ATAAACTCATTACCACTAAATTCGCCTAAAAACTCTCGAAGCTCTTCTAAAAGCTTATCTCTAAACTTCTCTATAAAACTGATGTGTAATTTTGTATGTTGCTTATTAAATTGTCTAAAAACTAATCTGAAGTATCGCCTATAAACTCATCAGCACTACATTCGCATAAAAAATGATCTTTAGTTCAAAATCGAGCATACGAGCAGCGAAGCGAGCGAGACGAGCTATCTAGCGAGCACGAGATCTAGCGAGCGAGCGAGCTAGAGCTATCGAGGAGCGGCGAGCGATCTATCGAGCGAGCGAGCAGCAGCTAGGCACTAGCTAGCGAGCGACTATGCTACTAGATCTATCGAGATCTATCTAATCTATATCTATCTAGTATATCTAATCATCTATCTATCTATCTATCTATCTATCTATCTATCTATCTATCTATCTACTATCTATCTATCTATCTATCTATCATCTATCTATTCTATCTATCTATCTATCTATCTATTATCTATCTATCATCATCTATCTATCTATCTACTCTAATCATCTACATCTATCTATCTATCTATCATCTATATCTAATCTACTACTCTTTATCTAACTATCATATCTATCTATCTATCTATCTACTATCTATCTATCTATCTATCTATCTATCTATCTTCTTATCTATCTCTATAAAGCCTCTAAACTCTGGTCTATAAATATACTCGTTTACAACTATATAAACTGGTCTATCGATCCATCTTAAAGCTCCTTTTTTATCCTTTTAAATAACAAAACACATTTAGATATTTTTTTTATAAATTTTTATATATTTTTTTTCAATATGGTCAATTATATATTTTATTTTCATTACATTTTGTTTTTTGTTTTTTATTTATATTTTAATTTAATTAAACTTATTTGATAAGATGCAGAATAAAACTGCATTATTATGTTTGTGGTATTTTTTTTTAATTTTTATTTAATATAAGCCAACTATGTATGTACTCGTATGTCTGTATATTTATACGTTTTTAATAATTAATTTATATGTTTTTTGTTAATTTTTATTTTATATTAATATGTATATCATAATAAGTGTTTATTTTTTTAATGATTTTATTTAAAGTGTTTTTTTTTTTTTTTTTGAGTAATTTATTAAATATAAATATTTTTTTTGTATTATAAATTAATTGTTTGCCATTATGTTTAAATTTACACTAAGGTACTTTTACTGTGTTTTATTATTTTTATTTTTTTGTATTTATTATTTAATAGAGATTATTTGCAAAAGTTTTTTCTTTATTATTTTAAATAAAACAATTATAAAAATGAAGATAAATTATGGTTTTTTTAAAACAAAAAAAGTTAAAAAAATATAATAGTTTACAATATTTATGATTAAGTTAATAAGGTATTTATAATTAAAAAAATATTAAAAAGTATTTAACAATTGAAATAATTAAATATAAAACGTTTTATATTTAAATGTAGTTAATATGTATGTATGTTTGTTAGAGAGTATGTAAAACATAAAAAGCATTTATTTACTATGTATGTATTTGCTTTTTTATTTAGATGTTTTTAACTTTTTCAAGAATGAAGCACAAAGATCTAATTTATAATTTTATTTTTGACTTTTTTTTATAAATTTAATATAAATAACGAAAACTAAGACACTTTTTTTTTAAATGATTTTTTTTGTTTGTTTTTGTGAGAGCTTTTTAATTTGAGGTTTATTATTTATTATATTTATGTATGTTTGTGTTTGTTTTGTTAAGCTAAAGCTACTAATATGACATGAGTTTTATTTAGAATATTTCAAATAATGAAATATTTTTTTTATTTAATAAGTTGTTTTTTTGTTATAAAAACGTTATTTTATTTTAAAGTTAACAAATTGTTTTTTTGTTTTTTTTATTTTTATTTAAATATGTTACCAGGAATGTTAACTTTATTTGTTTTATTTGCTCAAAAACTCAAAATTATTTCCCAAATAAAAAAATCATATGAAACCATAACAAACTTATTTGTTTATTTACACTGTTTTTTTTTTATATAAAAATAAACTATTAGTTTTTTTAATAAAATTACAAAGAAATTAAAAAATGTACAAAATGTATTTATTGTTTTTGTGTTGTTTTAAATTTAATTTAAAATTATTTTGTACAAATTAGTTTAATAGTTTTTTTTCTTTTATATTTCAAAATTAACATTTTAGAAAAAATATTTATAATTTTTGTTTAGAATTAGAAAAGGGGTAATATAACATAATTAATCACTTCACTTTATGTTTTGTAACTAAAAAATTCAAAATTATTTTGAAAAATTTTCATCTCTAAACTAGTCTATGGAATCTTTTTTATACACTCTTCTATAGTCTTTTTGATAAACTGGTCTATAATCTTTAATTCGACATTACAATTTGAAAATTCGCTTATTTGCAATTTAAAATACGTTTTCATTCGATATATAATGAACATTTTGAATTTTGGGATGATGTCATTCTATAACGAACAAGAAAATCGAAGTCAATTCGTTTCGAAATCGAACTATTGGCGAAAAATCTAATAATAGAGATGAATATGTTAAAGCCGAACAAAAATTGGAAATTTCAATAGAATTTTTATTCGAATAGAAATTTAATAGAAGTTCGAATTTTCAATAGAAATTCGAAATTTTGTTAGAAAATTGAATATTATAAAAAAAATTTTCAATTTCGATCTAAATATCAATTTTTTCATAGAAAATTGATTTTCGTAAAGATTTGAAATTTCGATAGAAATTCTAAATTTCGATTGGAATTGAAAATATCGATACAAATTCGTGTAATCAAATATTTGAAATAGAAAATCGAATATTATAAAAAATGTTTTAATTTCGATAGAAATTCTAATTCCAAACTGAATATCAATTTCTGATAGAAAATTGAAATTTCGAAAAGATTCGAAATTGAATTCAAAGTTTTGATAGATTTTCGATATTTTTATAAGAACTCAAGAATTCTATTTTAAATTCGAAATTTTGAAGAAATTTAAGATTTTGATAGAAATTCAAGATTTTCATAAAAATTCAAGATTTCGATAGAAATTAAAAATTTCGTTAGAAATACAAAATTTTTATAGAAATTCAAAATGTTGATAGAAATTCAAAATGTTGATAGAATTTCAATATTTTGATAGATTTTCGATATTTTGATAAAAACTCAAGAATTCTTTTTAAATTCAAAATTTCAAAGAAATTTAAGATTTTAATAGAAACTCAAGATTTCGATAGAAATTTAAGATTTCGATAGAAATTCAAAATTTCTATTTAAATTCAAAATTTCGAAAGAAATTCAAAATTTCGATAAAAATTCAAGATTTTGATAGAAATTCAAGATTTTGATAAAAATTCAAATTTCGAATAAAATTCGAGATTTCAAGATTTTGATAAAAATTCAAAATTTCGATAGAAATTCAAAATTTTGATAAAAATTCCAATTTCGAAAGAAATTCGAATTTTTTATAGAAATTCAAAATTTCGATAGAAATTCAAAATTTCGATAGAAATTCAAAATTTTTATAGAAATTTAAAATTTTGATAGAATTTCGCTATTTTGATAGATTTTCGATGTTTTGATTTCAAAGTTTTGATAGATTTTCGATAGAAATTCGATATTTTGATAAAAACTCAAGAATTCTATTTCGAAATTTCATAAAAATTCAAGATTTCTATAGAAATTCAAAATTTTGATAGAATTTCGATATTTTGATAAAAATTCAAGTTTTCTATTTAAATTCAAAATTTCGATAGAAATTTAAAATTTTGATAGAAAATTCCAAATTCGAAAGAAATTCGAATTTTTTATAGAAATTTTAAATTTTGAAAGAAAATTGATTTTTTTATGGAAAATCAAAAATTTTTTAGTAAATAGAAATTTTGATTGAAATTTAAGATTTCGATAGATATTTCTATAGAAATTCAAAATTTCGAAAGAGATTCAAATTTCAGAAAATCGATGTAAATTCTAAATTTCAAAAGAAATTCAAATTTCGAAATAAATTCAAATTTCGAAAGAAATTCAAATTTCGAAAGAAATTCAAATTTCGAAAGAAATTCAAATTTCGAAAGAAATTCAAATTTCGAAAGAAATTCAAATTTCGAAAGAAATTCAAATTTCGAAAGAAATTCAAATTTCGAAAGAAATTCAAATTTCGAAAGAAATTCAAATTTCGAAATAAATTCCAATTTCGAAAGAAATTCAAATTTCGAAAGAAATTCCAAATTTTGAAAGAAATTCAAAATTTTGAAAAAAATCCAAATTTTGAAAAAAAAATCATAATTACGAAAGAGATTCAAATATTGAAAGAAATTCAAATTTCGAAAGAAATTCCATTTCAAATTCAAAATTTTTATGGAAGATCAAAAATTATGTAGAAAATCTTGAAACTTCGATAAAAATTCAAACAGAATTTTCAGAAAAAAGTAGAATTTTTGAATCGAAACAGATAAGTTTTTTAGGAAATTTTTGATTTTAGAAGAAATATAAAATTTTTGAAGAATTGAGTTTTCAAATAAAAATCTAAATTTTCAAAAGAATTTTTCTCAAATGTTCAAAAAAAAGTTACTTCGAAATCGAACATGCGGACAAAATCTAATTCTTGAAAAATTAAGTTTTCAAAGAAATATCGAAATTTTAATGGAATTTTTGAAATGGTTGAAAAAATGTCCTTATTGCGGAGAAAAACTAATTGAATTTTAAGACAAAAAATCGAATTTCGGAAAAAAAATCTAAGAAATTAAGTTTTCAAAGAAATTTTATTTAGTAGAATTTCGAAATGTTTATAGAAAAATCTAAAAATTTTAAAAAAAAAAATTTTAGAATATAGAAATTTAGTTTTCTATTTGTATAGAAATATTGAAAAAATAACACTTAAACTTCAATAAAAATCTAAATTTTCTATAAACAATAAAAATTTCTTAAGAAAAATTTTATTTTTAGTAAAAATTTACCAAAAAAAAAAATTTCAAAACTTTTGATGAAAAACTTGACTTGCTTACTTAAAAAAGTTTAGATTTTAGCAATTTTTTTGTTTAAATTTTCTTATATATTTTTGAAAAGAAAATCATTCAAAATCATAATTTTCTAATTACAAAACTCGGTGAAATGTAGTGTTTTTAACTGGTTTTATCAATAATCTTAACTTTTGCTTTTGTTTTCTTTCTTTCTTTTAATTACAAATAATTTAGTTTCTGGCTATAATCTTAAAAACACATTTTATTTTTTTAATATATTTTTGCAATTCAACAATTTAATAGTTTTAATCTAAATCATAGTTATTTTCTTTTTTTATAGATTTTCTTCAAAATTACTTAAAATAACTTAAAGATTAAGGTGAATAAGTAATATGTTTTTTATGTATGTATGTATGTTGTATCTTAAAATTTAAAACGTAAATTTTTAAGGTTTTTAGTTTAATATTTAAAGTTTTGGTTGTTTTAAACTTAATGCTAAAAAGAAGAAAACTTAATAATAAAATTAATCTTATCAAAAAAAAAACAACTACAAATATATATATTTTATATTTTTTTGTGTTTTTCTTTCTATCTCTACTTTTGTTATTTTAGATTTTGTATTTGTCTTCTTAGCTAATGAGTTGAAAATGTTAGATTTTGAACTTTAAATATTTGTTTTAATGAAATTTTAAAGTTTTCTTTTTTTTGTGGTTTTTGTTTTAATGTTTAGTTTGTAAATTTAATGTATTAATGTTAAATATTTTTTTGTTTCTTTATTTAAAAAAAGAAATAATAAAGTCATATGTATGTATATGCAGTTGTATGTGTGTGTTAAGTCATTTTGAGCTATTGTATAGTAAAGTTAATAATAAAACAAACAAAAAATTAATTTGAATTTCAGTTCAAAAATTGCACTTGGAAAGTTATAATAATAATAAAAAACAAAACAATATTGAAAATGTTTAATTTACTTTTAGTATTTGAAAATTTATAGTTATAATAAAACATAAAGAAATAATATATAATTTACATGATTTCCAATGAATCCGAAATATTTATATAACTCAGTGGTAACAGTTAAAAAAAAAACTTTAAGTTTTTGTTATAATTTGTCTAGTAAAAGGCGGTTTTTAATGGTTAAACGTATTTTTGAAACAATAACAGCAATAATGATGAAAAATGTTTTAAGTCTAAAACATTTTAGACAAATTTGTGTAAAACAATTTTAACTTTTTCCAAATCTTTTAAAAATGAAAAAGAAATGTGTGTGAATGTTTAATTATAGAAAATATTCCCACGACCAGCGTTGAAATCCCCAACATTACTTTAATGTAATTGATTGTTTTGATGAGAATTATGATGAGTATGAGCAGTGTTATCTTGCTGTTGTTGTGAAGACATCATATTCATTTGTTCGGCTGTAGCTTCCGCATCTAAGGATGTTGATTGTTGTTGTTGCTGTTGCTGCTGTTGTTGTTGTTGCCCATTTTGGGCGCACTGCTAGAACCATGGTCTAGGATTTGCTGCATCATATGGTTTAGGCATACCCAACGATGAAGATCTATAGGCCGATGGCGGCGGTTGACCATAACCAGCCGCAGCAGCTGCTGCCGCTGCAGTTGCTGGACCACCCAACAGTGACGAAGGATTAAATATCATACGTGTATGATAATCATCATGTCGTAAATATTGTTGATACAACTGTGAATTGGCAGCATCCAATTGTGAGGCAGCATTCATAAAGTAAGGCGAGGCTCTGGTTGAGGGATGTGCTGCTAGAAAACTATAAGGATTGGGTGTGGCTGCTGGATTTAAGGCGGCCTGGGTTTTATCCATAACACTGGCTGCTGCAGCCGCTGATGAAGCTGAAGCATCATTGGCTGTGGCACTTCTGCTGTGGGCGGGTGCTGGTGGCATATAGTAGGGATTAGAGGCATCTCTAAATTGATCTAAATAACTGCTACCAGTTTGATCGCCATATAAACCCAGAGTACTGGCTGTATGGCCAAAGTTGAAAGCACTTCCTGGCACCATGCCAGCGGCAGTTTTTAATGAAATGGCGGCTGCATCTAAAGCAGATGTAGCCGAAGATGAGGTGGTCGATGAAGAGTTATTGTTGGCATTTGTACTGGAGTTTTGTGATCCCACAGTAGCTTGAGATGAATTTGAGGTGGATAGTGGAGAACCAACGCCGGTCGATTTGAGGCCAGCATAAAGTTGAAAACTTTGCAAAGCTTGCATATGATGGGCTGTAGCGGAGGCTGTGGAATTTTGTGTATTGGGATTGTATTGTGAGGAGTGTAGCGCCTGCTGCTGCTGTTGTTGTTGTTGCTGCTGCTGATGAGCCGCTTGGGATTGATGATGTTGGTGTTGTTGTGCTTGATGCTGTTGCTGCTGCTGCTGTTGTTGTTGCTGTAATTGTTGGGCCTGTTGTTGGGCTTGTTGTTGAGCCTGTTGCTGCTGAGCTTTGGCTGCGGCGGCTGCCTGCTCTGCTGCTATAGTAGAGGCCTTCTTTTTGCGTCCTCTTTTGGCGGGTGGTGGCTTTTGAGGTTCTACATGTTGTGTATGTTGTTGTTGTTGTTGCTGCTGCTGTTGGGCTTGCTGAGCTGCAGCATTGGCCTGCGCATTATTACCCGCCAAATTATGTAAATAACTAGAGGCAGAGGGCATTTGATGTGGATTACCATAGATACTGGCACCCGCTGTACTGGCCGCATTACCCGCCGATTGCATAGAATTCAAATAAAGTTGTGAAGCTGCTGAGGTCAGCCCTTTAGAGGCTGTAGACGCTGCTGTTGCTGAATTGTAGGTATGAGCAGCCGGTGGCATAGTTTTGTCATAATAATTACTGGCCGCCGATTGGCCGGTAAGACCCATTAAAGAGGGATCTCCCAAGGGGTGTAGAAGAGAAGCTGCTGGATTATTGTAGGTTTGCGCTGGGGGTGGTGGTGGTGTGGGTTTATTATAGGCCGACAAATGATGTGTATGCGTTAGATGATGGGAGGCTGTCATGGCATTTAGCAAAGGATTATTTGAGGCCGATACCGCATTTGCCGACGTGGAGGATTCATGAGTGTTTACAGAAGAGTTGTTGTTGGCGGTAGAAGCTGAGTTTTTATCGTTCGCTGTGGTAGAGTGTTTTTGGCTTTGCGTCTGATGTTGTTGTTGTTGACCATAATTATGGCTTAATTGTTGATGTTGCTGCTGTTGGGTTGTTTGTTGCTGTTGTGAGTTTTGTGCTAATTTACTTGCATTGCTATTGTATAAGCTATGTTGTTGTTGTTGCTGCTGCTGTTGTTGTTGTGAGTGCATTGTATGATGTTGCTGATGTGCCATATAGGTGTTGTCTGTGTTAGACATATTTAAAGGTTGTTGCAAAGAGGATTCGCTCGATTTTTGTTGCTGCTGCTGTTGATTATGTTGCTGCATTATATTGCCACCAGCTGAAGCACTTGAAGTTGCATAACCCATGGGATTTTTGTTTAACATATCTAAAGTTGATTTATTTTGATGCTGCTGTTGCATAGTTTGATTTTGTTGTAGAGACGACTGTTGTTGCTGTTCTGCTGTAGTCTGCTGTGGCTGTTGTTGTTGGTGCTGCTGCATTAAATGTGCTGCCAAATGTTTATTTTGTTCTTGCTGCAGGCTCTTGTGAGCCTGTTGCTGCGTCTGTTGTTGCTGCTGGGACGTTTGTTGTTGCTGTTGCATTTGACACGCTTGTGTATCTTTGGTATAGTCTTTAGGGAAACCCAGGGAAGCAGCATGATTGTACATGGCAAAGGCTTTTTCAGGAGCTATATTGCCCAATTGTTTGCCAAATGCCATGGAGCCCAAGAAAGAATCAAACATTTGAGAATATTTACTCAATTGTTGTTGTTGCTGCTGCTGCTGTTGTTGATCTTGTTGGGAGGTAACAGCTTGAGTTTGTTGTTGTTGCTGTTGTTGGGATTGTGTTGATTGTTGTTGCATTTGCTGTTGAGATTGCTGCAACTGCTGTTGTTGAGTTTGTTGTGGCGCTTGACTTAACAAAGCCGAAAGAGTAGATTGTTGCTGCTGCTGTTGAGAAGGTTGATGTTGTTGATTATTTTGCTGTGTTGCCACTTTATTTTGCTGTGTTATTTGCTGCTGCTGCTGCTGCTGTTGTGTTGCTTGTGTCTCATCACATTTCTGCATTTTCCTAGCAGTGCCTCCACTATAATCCATTCCTAAAAGATCATCTCCAGGTCGTTTTAATGGATTTGCGACATGTTGAGATTTTTGTGCATGTGCCTGTTGATGCATATGTTGCATAAATGCAGCCATATCACCAGAATTCGAGCAAGATCCCAAACTACTGGGAGTATTCGCCTGCATACTATAACTTTGTGCAGCCGGAGATGAGGCTGCCGTTGCAGCTGATGAGGAGGAATTGGAGGAAAGACTATTATTACTTGTCTTATTTTCTTGATTCAATTCATCGATTGTTGAGGTGGTGGCTGCCGATTGTTTACTGGCCGCCTCTGCTTGATATTGGGCGTATGTGGGATATGACGGTTTTGTTATTAATGATTGTTGCTGTGTTAGATTTGTTAATAGGTTATGTTGCTGCTGTTGTGTTTGACCTTGTTGTGTATTTTGGTTTGTTGCCGCTGTCATGGTGGTATCCCTCCACTCAGTAGGTTTATTCTCTGTTGTTGTTTTGCTATTATTGCTGTTCAATAGAGAAGGATTGTAAAGATTGTGTAAGGTATCATTTGTTTGCAGTTGTTGTGTTTCTTTAGCATGTTGTTGCTGTTGAGACTGTTGTTGTTGCTGTTGTGTTGTCTGTTGCAACTGCTGTGTTACCTTCGAAATGGGTGGCACATATGAATTGCTATTAGCATTCATTGTTTGTCCCAAATTTCCCGCATTATCCGTCATTTGTGAGGAATACATTCCTGTAGATTGTTGTTGCTGTTTCTGTTGTTGTTCTTCCAATGTGGAAGATTGTGTTTGTAGTGGATTTGTGGTGGAGCTCTTATTAGGCTCTCCATAACCCATTACAGTGGCAGCCCCAGTAGTATTGTGATAATTTGGCGTTGTGTTTGACAAAGAAGTCTGACTGTATGTGGGCGGTTGAGGTTGCGGTATAATTGTCTGTTGTTGCTGCTGCTGTTGAGATCCCACACTAGGAGGTTGCTGTTGATAGGGTGACATAACTGGTTGTTGATATGGTGAATGTTGTTGTGGCTGTTCGGCTGGGGAGTTCGCCAGAGGAGTGGGTGGTTGTGTGGCCGCTGATGAGGCTGGTGAGTCAATGCAGGCCAAAGGACTGTGTTGCTGCTGATTCAAAGGAGAATGAACACTGGAAGCTGCCGATCCGACAACAGGTGTATGAGCCGCCGGACTATGGGCATGATTGGCGGTTGTATAAGGCGACTGTTGCGGCTGTTGATATGGAGAATTCGGTGGATGATAGGGACTTTGATGAGGCTGTGGTGTAGTATGAGGCGTAGTATAGGGAGAATTTTGCGGTTGCTGATAGGGTGAGTGGGGATTGGGTGTACTTGGACTCATAGAACTGTTATAATCCGATTCTTGAGATTTCGGTTGTTTATATTGATCATATAGATTTGGCAAAGGTGAAGTAGAAGAGTATACTGGTGTCTTAGAGGCTTCCGAACCAGATGGATTGTAACTATTCGCTCCCCCATAAGGTGAAGTACCACTTAACTCGGGCGTCGAAACATTTGGTGAAGATGCTGAGGAATATATATGCTGCGAGTACTGGGGATAGGGAGAAGGCATTTCCCTGGGACTACAACTTTTATCAGGACTACTCTTGGTGGTAGTGTCCTGATAGAAATTAACTTTAATCGTGCCATTTAAGGGATAAGGAGAAGCCGGTTTGGTTATGTCATCCGGTTTGGGTGATACCATTATGGGCGATGCTCCGATAGGTGAAGCACCAATTGGTGAGGTATAAGAGCCAGCATTGTAGGAGCCATAACGATCTTCTATAGTTATGCGTGGTGAATCAGGATCCTGTGAAAAACTGGAACGTTCTGATATAGTGCTGCCAGTGCTGGCTTTGCGTTGTCTGGGTGCAGAGGGTAGCGAAAAGGTTTCTCCTATTAATGAGCTAGAAGTGGGACTTTTGGCTGCTGTAGCATTATTTGAAACAGAAGACAACGAGCTTTTTTCTTGTGACTTCTCCGAGGAGTTTTCATTACTTTCGGTTTGCTGTTGCTTTTCCTCTTCCTCTGATTTTTTAGCCTTTTTGGGTGCGCCAAAAGCTTTAAACCAGGCACTTAAGTTAGGTTTTTCCTTGGCAGCATCAGCTGCCGTCGTAGAGGCGCTATTATTCGAATCAACTGCTTTTTCATTAGCTGTTGTGGGAGAGTTTGCAGAGGTTAAAGTTGTTGCATTTAAAGCAGACAATGTTGCTGTTAAGGTCTCAAAAGGTCTGGGCTTTTCTGCTGATGAAGTGGACTTCAAATCTTCCTCTAACTTCTTGTCTTTTTCTTCGTTTGTTAGCAAATGTGTCGAGCTAGTTAGTGAGGAGCCAATTTTGGGGAATGGCAGTAAACCTTCCAAAATGTTTTCTTTTGGTTTTGATTTCTCTTCCAATTCCTTTTCTTTTTCACTATTCAAAGCTGGACTTAATGCTGCTTTATTTACCGTCTTCGAGGCCAATTCATCTATGAACGAAGGCGTCGAACCCATGGCAAAATCGTCGGTTTTTATAACAGTGCCCAAACTTAATTTTGGCACATTGTCTGCAGTTTCCACTATTAAGGAATTTTTAACTTCTTTAGTTTTAGCTGCCACTGGTCCCAGGGGAAACAGTTCATCTGGTTTATTGACATTTTGTATAAGATTTCCCTTAGCCTTGCCGGGCTGCAAGCGGTCAATAGTACGCAATAAATTATCTTTTCTTCTGGTATTCGAGGCCGCTTGCAGTTTTTCTTTCAGAGACTTTCTCTTGTCCTCCTTTGCCATTTGTTTTTTGATGTGAGGCGGTGGCGGAGGATGTAACAAGAGTTGGGTGGTAGTGGGTTCCTTTGGCTTGGGCATAGTTACCGTAGTCAAAGAAGGAGCTATGGTTGTGGGTGGAGGTATGAGTAGAGGAGTATTTGCTACAGCTACCGAACTTAAGGAAGCAATAGAAGGCGCATTTATTGTGGATGAATTCGAGGAGGCATTAACCGAAGTACTGCCTACCGAATTGCCCGAAGTAGTTGAATGAGGTGGTGAGGTGTTAAGTCTAGCTGCTGCTGCTACTGGCAGCAATTCACTTATAATGTCTTTCTTTGGTAAGTTCGAGTCTGATGAGGAATTATTGTCCGCCACTAGTTCATCAAAGGCCTCTTGTAGTTTTACTGGCATTAAGTCATCTTTGGGATTCGAAGGACCATCCAATTTAGCAGTTATGGCCGGATCGAAATCATCCATCATATAGCGAGAGGGTGAATTAGAGGCGGATGAGAATTCAGAGAATCTGGGTGTATGTTCCAGCCAGCGATTAATATCTTTAAGTGTCTGTTCAGTTTCCACATCCAGAGCTTCTAGATTGGCAGAATTATTGTTGGCAGAGGGCTTTTGATTATTTAAATTGTTTGCCGCATTGTTTTTAGTTGATTTTTTATTGTTATTTTGATTTGCGGTAGCTTTTTTCTGCAAAGCTTTTTTAGGTGGAGGAGGAGCTTGTGGCTTCTCTTTTTCTTTTTCCTTTTCTTCCACTCTGGGTGGTTCTTTAATTTCCACTATTTCTTTTATAACCTCACAAATGGCCACAGATTGCGCTGTGCTGGCCAACGGTGATAAAGGTGGCGAGTCTTCTATTAAAGCCGCTTTTAGTTTTTCTTTCTTTTTTGGTGGTAATTTATCATTCGCAACAGATTTCTTATCTTTTACCGCAGGCACTGCTGTTGCTGGCAATTTGAAGGATTTTTCCTCATCTTCTTGCTCTTCTTCGGCCATTATTACCTCCTCGGGTTCTGCTGGCTTTTCTAATGGTTTTTCTATTTCAGTAGTTTTCTTTGTCTCTTGTGTTGGCTCCTCTACAATTTTTTCCGGTTCTGGTTTGGTTTCGGGTACTTCCAAAGCCTTTTCCAAATTCTTTTTAGCTTTTTTATTATCACGCGACTTTTTACCTCTTGTTGTCTCTGTGGCCGGTTTCTCTGGGGTTTTATCGGAGGCTTCTGAAACCGTCTTACTAGATGAGTCGCGTTTTCTAGAGCTCTGAGTTTTAGTAGTCGTTTTTGTTTCGGCAGCCAAATTCTGTTGATTGAGTAAAGCTCTGCTACGGCGGTATTTAATGAGTTCGTATTTATCCAAGAAAGGCAGTAACATTTCCAGTTCAGCTTGTTCGGCAGCTGCTGCAGCAGCCGCTTTCTCTTTTTCTGTCAGTTTTTTCTTATCACTAGATGTTGTTGTTGTCGTGTTGGCGGTGGAGGATGAAGATGTTGATCTTTTACGTTTGTTTTCTTTTTCCTTTTTATTGTTTTTGTTATTTTTTGGTGTGGCTTTCTTTTTCACAGGTTCGGGTGAGGGTTCTCTAGATTCCTCGGTTGTATGACTAGAAGTGGATTTTAAATCTTCATTATCGGATTCAGGGCTTGCTTGTGGTTGCAAATTGTTTAAAGAAGTGCTTTGCACTTTCTTTACGGTTGTCAAAAGTTCAGAGAGATCTTCGTTAAGGGCACTTTTTGAGTATTTTTTGTGTAAATCTACTTTGAAGGGTGACATGCTGCGGCTGTCCTCATCTAGTATATCTTCTTCCAATTCCGAGGCAGAAGCATTTAAGGCAGCTATAGCGGGTGGTGGCAAATCCTTGTTAGTTAACAGGGAGGTTTTTCTCTTGTTTGCAGCCTTCGTGGGTGTGGGAGGTGGTGGTGGATCTTCTTCGGGTTCTTCAGGCTCAGATTTTATATCTTTATCTTCATCTGCTTCCGAGTTGGAGTCTTCCTGTTCGGATTCTGTGATTTCGGCCTTGGATTTATATTTACCTGCTGTTTTTGTGGAATCTTTCGTTTTGGTTTTACTTTTGGAATTGTCTTTTTTCTTTCTACCCGTTCCCTTTTTCTTTTGATTTGCCGTTTTTCCTGCTTTTGACTTTCCTTTTTTCGTAGACTTTAGTTCAAAATTCTCATCGTCTTCATCATCTGGCTCTTCTTCAGATTCTGCATTTATGAAATCTTCCTCTTCTTCGGTTAAATCCATATCATCCTCTTCAGCCTTTTGTTTAGATTTCGTCGACTTTTTTGATGACTTTTTAGATTTGGCATTTGATTTGGAATTTTTCTTATCATGTTTTGATTTCTTATCCTTCTTCGTAGAAGAGTCCTTATAAGTTTTGGACTTTTTCGAAGAGTTTCTACTCTCTTCCAAATCCTGTATGTCTTCAAATTCATCGTCATCATCTTTGAATTCATACTGATCTTCCTCTTCACTCTGTCTATCATCTTTACGCTGTGTTTTGGATTTTCTCTTACGTTTTTTATCCTTATCTTTACGTTTCCTTTTGGCATTAGAGCTCTTATGATCACTTTCCTCTTCATCCTGTTTCTCATCATCTTCACTCTCTTTGCCAACGCCGCCGATATTCTCCTCCTCATCGCTAGTCACGACCTCTTTTGTTTTATCCTTCTTGCCATGTTTCTTTTTATCTGTGGGTTTATGGTTGTTGCTTTTCTTATTGGCCATTTCCTGATTTTCTTTATCTTTAGCCTTTTTATTGAAATATTTCTCACGGAAAACATTCATTTTTGCATCGGCCGCCGGATAACTTAAATTCGGATCATCTTCGTCGTCATCGGATAAATGATCGAAATATTTTTTGGTGGCTTTGTCAAAGGCTTCTTGCAGTTTATTCACCATTTCGGTGTATTCTATAAGAAGAAAGCATATATTTTTATGAGCTCTTATTAGGAATTGTTTGGAGTGAAAACTTACCATTGTCATTGCCATTATATAAACGACAATTGTTAACAATTAATTTGAAATCATTACGGAAATCACTGAATTTTTGATATTCGCCATTATCGAGTTTATCTTCCATTTTCAAAAGATCCATAGGTCTGAAATAGTGAACAAATTAAGATCAATTTTATGCCAATTGAAAATAGATTATAAATCGTTTACAAAAAAACAACTTTTTCTCCTTAATATAAAAAAGCTTTCTTTTACCAATAAAGAACTTTTTTATAAAACAAGTTTTGTTAAGTGAAAAATATTGCTTTTCACTTAAAAAAGCTTTTTTCTAAAAAAATTTGTTTCCCAAAAAGTTTTTTACAAATATTTTCAAAAGCTCTTGTCAAAAAAAACAAAATTTTTGTGAAAAAATACTTTTTCGAAAAAACGCTTTTTTTCTTAAATTTTTTTATGTATGTTTTACAAAAAACTTTTCTCCATAAAAAAGCTTTTTTCACCAAAAAGCTTTATATCAGAAAAAGCTTTTCCACAAAACGTTCTTTCTCAAAAAGCTTTTTCCATAAAAAAACTTCGTTGCAAAAAGGCTTTTCCTACAAAAAGCTTTATATCAAAAAAAACTTTTCCACAAAACTTTCTTTCTCAAAAAGCTTTTTCCACAAAAAGCTTTGTTGCAAAAAAGCTTTTCCCACAAAAAGCTTTGTTGCAAAAAAGCTTTTCCTACAAAAAGCTTTGTTGCAAAAAAAAATTTTTCAATAAAAGCTTTTCTAAAAAAGAACTTTTAGAAAAAATTTAAAAAAAATCCAAAAAAGTTTTAAAAGTTTTTTATATTAAAAAAAAACCTTTTTGCTGAAAAAGCTTTTTCGCCAAATAGCTATTCCTCAAAAAAGCTTTTTTTACTACAAAGAAAAGATGATTTTCCTTAAAAGAAAAACTTACCTCCTTATAATGGAATAATATCTGGGTGCAATATCTTCCTCTACTGGATCCATAAATGGCCAAGCGTCACGATGATTCTTAACATAGACCAGTACCTTGTGCATACCAATTTGTAGAACTTCTTCGGTTTCGGTAAAGCTAAGAACATTTGGTGTGATGGATTTTTTGTTCAAACAATAATTGTTGTAGAAAGTATTATGTTGGTGGTGATGGGATGTTGATGATTTTGTTGTTGGTTGTGGTGGTGGCATATGGTTGTGATGATTTAGATTGTGATGTTGTTGTTGTTTTTGATATTTATGATAAGAGGTTGATGATTTTTTATGTACATAAGAATCAGAGGATATAGTTGTAGAGGAATTGTGATTGTGGTGGTGATGGTGTTGGATTTGGTTTTGGTGATTGTGTTGGGAAAAATGTGCATTATTATTAGTATTAGAATGGAAATAATTATCATTAGAGGTAGTGTTGTTGTTGTTGTGATTGGTAGTACTAGTGGGAGAAGTGATAGTAGTAGTGCTGTTGTTGTTGTTGTAAGTGTGATTGTTAGTATTATGTTTTAAATAACGTTTGGTTGGTGGTATGGCGGCAACTGTAGTTGTTGTTTCATTAACATTTTTATTCTTATTATTATTTTTATTATTATTATTGTTACTGTTGTTGTTATTATGATTATTGATCGTGACATAGTGTTGTTGTTCTTGGTCTTGTTGTTGTAGTTGATACTGGTTGCTGTTGTTGCTACATATTACATTTCTACACGGAATTTTTTTTTTTTTTTTTTGATATTTGATTTTTATGGTGTGGATGAAGGGATGTTTGATTTTTTTGATATAGAGGAACATAGATATTTTTTGGTTTTTGCAAATTGTTATACATTGATTTTTGTTGTTTGATGATTTTTTTTATAAAATGTGGAATAAAAATTCAAGAGGGAAGGAGCAATAAAATACAATTGGTATTTTTTAAAATGATTGATTATTTACAAATGGATTTAAATATAAAATTCAAAGTAAATTACGGAAAAAAGCATGCATTAAAAATTGGCAAAAAGCAAATGTTTTCTATTTAAATGATTTGAGGCAAAATAAAAAAAATAAATAAAAATTAAAAAGCTGTTTTACTAAAGCTTTTAATCCAAAGTTTAAAAAATTAAATAAAATTTTTTATATAAACTTTTTGCAGCCAAATTAATTTGTTATTAAGAAATCTCTCGTTTATTAAAGCCAAGATTTTGAATATGATGCTGATAAGCTAAGGAAGAAATGTGAAGATCTTTCGCATATTCCAACAGCTCTAAAAGGACATCTGCTATAATTTAGAGAAATAATGCTTTTCGTTTAATCGAAAATCTCTCCAAAGTACATTATTTTTTAGCTAAAAAGCTCTTTTAGTATTTTTCACAAAAAAAAAGCCTTTTTATACTATTAAAAAGCTTTTTAATAAAAGACTTCTTCGCTAAAAAAAATTTCACGTAAAAGCTTTTTAGTAAGAAAAGCTTCTTTAAAAATAAAGCTTTTTTTAAAAAGCTTCAAAAATATCCTTTTCACCAAAATAACCTTTTTACTAAAAAAAAATTTCCTTTTCACTAAAAAGATTTTCCGCATATACCAAAAGCTCTAAAAGGACATCTGCTATAATTTATACAGATTTTAAGAAATTGGAGCAATAATGCTTTTCGTTTAATAGAAAATCTCTATAAAGTACATTATTTTTTTTTTTTTTTTTTTTTGCTAAAAAAAAGCTTTTTTACTAAAAAGAATTTTCCTTAAAAAAGCTCTTTTAGTATTTTTCACCAAAAAAGCTTTTTTTCACTATTGAAAAGCTTTTTAGTATTTCTTCCCTAAAATAAAATTTCACGAAAAAGCTTTTTAGTAAGAAAAGCTTCTTAAAAAATAAAGCTTTTTTAAAAAGCTAATAACCCTTTTACTAAAAAAGCTTCTTTAGTAAAATGGATATTCAGAAAAACTTTATATTAAGAAGACTTCCTCATGAAAAAGCGTTTTTTCTGAAAAGTATTTTCTACAAAAATTTCAGACGTCCCCAAAATAGGTGAAATATAAGAAACGTTCCCAATTTCTAATCCCATTTAGAAGGAATATCCATGTATTTTGATATCTTAATTATTTTCGAATCATGGCCCGATTTGCAACATTCTGAAACCTTCACTATGACTTCGATCAAGAAGTCAAGGTAAAATATTTTTATTTATCAGTTTGACATCAACGTTCACAAACTAAAACAAGAGCATTTCGGATCTGGTCTAAATTTATTCTAAAATTTAGTCTTAAATATTTCTTTTGTACCTAGTCCACACAACTTTCTTTATTAATTCCTAACAACAAGATAAATGTTAAAGAAATAAAAAAAACATGCATACGAATGTCAATAGAAACAAATAACATTAAAAGTCAATAGAGAGAGATAGTAAAGCAAAAAAATAGCAACAATTAATTAAATATGATTAAGGTGGTAGTAGATATATAGAGAGAAAGGAGTGAAAAAGTTGGAATTTGTATAAAACAAATACTACTACTATAACGATATATAAAAGAATATTTATACAAATAGAATTAAAAAAAAACTCACTCATCAGCACTTTTGTCCGAATTTTGTGATGAATTTGAATTCGACTTGGTCATTGTTAAATCATCACGATCACTTGCCGCTTCTTGCTTTACCGAGGAGACTGTATTTGAGTTCTTCTTTTTAGGGCCACCTGTTTGTTTTCCCCCAGAATTTGTATTGCTATCCGTGGATTTTTGTTTTCTATTTGCCATGTTGGAATTTTTTGTTTTATTTGTATCTTTGAGGGATTGTTGTTGTTGTTGTGTTGTGGCTGTTGTTGTGGCACCCGTTGAAGTAGAAGATGATGTAGCTGAAGTTGAGGTGGCTGTAGTGGAATCTTGTAAAGTAGTTGGTATGAAAATATTACCCGTTAATGAAGAGAGAGAATTGTTAGTTTGACGTCCCGGCAATTTCATATTTGTAGCTGGTGCCATATCATAAACTACGGCCGTACAATCTTTTTCCTTTTTTATATTTACAACGGTAGAGTTTAATTGCAAATCGATATGGTTGTTGTTGTTGTTGTGGTGATGATGATGATGATGATGCTCTTGTCCAGTTGTTTCCAAATCGTTAGCAATAGTAGTATTGTGTTGATTGTTGTTGTTGTGATTGTTGTGTAAATGTAAAAGACTTTCTGTGGGTACTACACCGATAGCACGACAGAAATTTTCCTTATCTTCTGGACTTAATACTGGTTCTTCTTCATCGATTGTAGGATATTTTGTGTGTTTAGTAGAAGTAGAAGAACGTGTGGGCAATTGTTGTTTATCTTGTGATTGAGGCTGCTGCTGTTGCTGTGGTTGTGTTTGAGATTGTTGTTGCTGTTGATTTATTTCAGTTTCTTGTTGTTGTGGTTGAGTTGTTGCTGTTGTAAGCTCGTTTTGATGTTTATCTGAGTGTTTGTGTTTCCTGCGATGTTCTTTAGATTTTTTCTTTTGCTTTTTCTGTGATTTTTTCTTTTTATGATGATGATGGTGGTGGTGATGAGATTTTCTATTTGTTTTGTTTTGATTAAATTCCTCTACAAGTTTTTCGTCGTTTTCTTCTTGTTCAACTACTTCGACTTGAGTTCTTGTATCGGCTGTAACTGTTGTTGTATTGTTGTCGTCTTTATTTTGATTATCGTTATGATTTTGTTGTAAAGCTTTATATTTATTTATTAATATATTTTGTTCGTTTTCCCCGTCTTCGTCTTCCTCTGTTACTGGCGCCGCTTCGTCTAAATTGTCAGCCGGTTCTAATTTAATATTTTTTAAAAGATTTAAATGTTCATCGGTCAATAACGTTGCGGTATCGTCTATTGGCCTTTTATGATGATCTTCTAAATCGTAATCACGTTCCTGTTGATAATTGCGATTTTGTCGATATTCGTTATCTAGTTCTTCTTCAGCCTCTTCGTCGTCTTCTTCTTCCTCTTCGTCCTCGTCTTCGGGTGTTAGACAGAAGGTCTCACGATGTCCCAAAAAATCACTTGAATTAGTGGTTATGGTGCGTCTTAAAGAACTGGCATAGGTCGAAATGCCACTAGCAGTTGAGGTGGATTGCGAGCTAAATGTTGTTGTGTTAGAAAAATGGAAAATGTTTTTATTTTGTTTAAATATGTGATTAATAGTGATATTTTTAAACTCAATGTTAACATGCGTTTAGTGTTATGAATTGTGAAGGTGTTAAAACTAAAAGCAGATTGAAATTTATGATGGGTTCTGAAATTGGGTTGAAAGCTCCTAAATATATTTCAATACTATTTTTCTCATACGTATAGCATTATCCCCAAAATTCATCAAAACGCCTTTTCTTCATCAAAATTAAATTAAGTTTTTTCACAAAAAAGCTTTTTTGCAGTTTTACAGGAAAAGCTTTATTTTTATAAAAAGCTTTTCAAATTATTGAAAAAAACGTTTAAAAACCTCTTTTTCAATATTTTTATTAAGAAAAGCTTTCAAAAATGTTTTTGCAAAAAAACTTGTAAAAGCTTTTTGATAAAGCTTTTTACACTTAAAAGCTCCTAAAATTCATTAAAAAAGCTTTTCGTTCATCAAAATTAAAAAGTGTTCATGAAAAAAATAATTTTTTACAAAAATTATAAATAAAAGTTTTCATCTAAAGAGTTATTTTTAAAGCTTTTTAATAAAAAAAGCTCTTTTATATATTAAAAATACCTTTTTAATTATAAAAGCCCTAAAATATTTTCATTTAAAAACTTTTATTCTAAAAGCTTTTTGCTCTTTGCAAATTTAGTTAAGAAGTGCTATAAAACTATCTCTCAAAAAAGCTTTTACTGTACTAGACCTACATGGTTTATTTTCTGAGGATTCCTTTGACCATAGTTCCGACTAATTTTCTTTTAAATCTTAATTACTAAAATCAATTAAAATTCAACTTCTTTCTAACATTATGAAATAATATTTTAAATGAACCCTTTAATATGTTTTAATTTGAAATAAAGTAAAAATAAAAACAATTAAAAATGCTCATAAATTAAATGAATTTTTGCACAAAAATATATAAATAAAAAATAAATAAAGAAAGTTATAAAAATAATTATAAATAAAGCATGCTTACATAATTTGTTAAAAACCAAATGTTTTGAAACTGTAGAGAATCAATCAATCCAATCATAAGCCGAAACAAGATGATGTTAAGAACACAATTATAAAATTAATTAATAATTTATTATATATCTTTTTTTTTTTGTTTTTGCGGTAAGACAAAGAAATACAAATTAAACGCCGGCCACACTTGTTGACAGTTGGTTAAGCCACTTTTAGTTCAGAAGACTAGGGGGAGTAGTTGTTGCCAAAAAAATAATTAAACAATTATTTAAATCCTTTTGTTTTAATTGTTACTTTTAATTAAATTACTGTTATAGAAGATTAATTTGTTTTATCTTGAATGAAATGTGATTTTATGATTTGATTTTTTTTAATAAATTTGCTGGTGGCGGGCATGTATTCTTTTTCTTAATGAAAATTATAAAGAAAAACTTATAAAAAGAAAAGCCAAATAAAAAAACTGATCGAAAAGATGTACTCAAGTTTGTATGAAGTTTTGTAATAAAAATAAAGTGCATTGAGTTTTTTTTAAGAAATGTAATGTTTTGAGTGTGAGTGTGGTTTTGAGTATGTAAGAATGAAATTATGTATTTCTTTTGTAGTACACAATTTAGATATTTTTTTCTTTTGATTTGGGTGTTTTTTGGCTTTAATTTTATGGTTTTCTAGGAGAGTTTATTTTGTCGTTCTAACCATCTGCGTGCTCTAGTTTGAGAGCTTGTTGCTGCTGTTGTGGTTGCCGCAGCTGTAGTTGAAGAAGATGTTAGAGGCAACACTGACGTTTTAGCAGGTTGCGGTTGTTCGAAAGGATATCGTTGACGTTCTCTTTGCTGGCGTTCTTGACGTTCTTGTTCTTGGCGAGCTTTCAACTCGACCAGATTACGAATACGACTGGAATTGCGAACTTGAAAGAGTCTGGAATAAAAAAGTTTTTTTAGAGAAACTAATATTTTTAAAATCAAATAAGAAATTATACTTTAAGCGTAAAGTGCTTTTTCGATTCTAGTTCAGTTCTATTTCAGTTCTAGTTCAGTTCTATTTCAGTTCTAGTTCAGTTCTAGTTCAGTTCTAGTTCAGTTCTAGTTCAGTTCTAGTTCAGTTCTAGTTCAGTTCTAGTTCAGTTCTAGTTCAGTTCTAGTTCAGTTCTAGTTCAGTTCTAGTTCAGTTCTAGTTCAGTTCTAGTTCAGTTCTAGTTCAGTTCTAGTTCAGTTCTAGTTCAGTTCTAGTTCAGTTCTAGTTCAGTTCTAGTTCAGTTCTAGTTCAGTTCTAGTTCAGTTCTAGTTCAGTTCTAGTTCAGTTCTAGTTCAGTTCTAGTTCAGTTCTAGTTCAGTTCTAGTTCAGTTCTAGTTCAGTTCTAGTTCAGTTCTAGTTCAGTTCTAGTTCAGTTTCGTTCAGTTTTAGTTCAGTTCTAGTTCAGTTCTAGTTCAGTTCTAGTTCAGTTTTAGTTCAGTTAGTTCTAGTTCAGTTCTAGTTCAGTTCTAGTTCAGTTCTAGTTCAGTTCAGTTCTAGTTCAGTTCTAGTTCAGTTCTAGTTCAGTTCTAGTTCAGTTCTAGTTCAGTTCTAGTTCAGTTCTAGTTCAGTTCTAGTTCAGTTCTAGTTCAGTTCTAGTTCAGTTCTAGTTCAGTTCTAGTTCAGTTCTAGTTCAGTTCTAGTTCAGTTCTAGTTCAGTTCTAGTTCAGTTCTAGTTCAGTTCTAGTTCAGTTCTAGTTCAGTTCTAGTTCAGTTCTAGTTCAGTTCTAGTTCAGTTCAGTTCTAGTTCAGTTCTAGTTCAGTTCTAGTTCAGTTCTAGTTCAGTTCTAGTTCAGTTCTAGTTCAGTTCTAGTTCAGTTTTAGTTCAGTTCTAGTTCAGTTCTAGTTCAGTTCTAGTTCAGTTCAGTTCTAGTTCAGTTCTAGTTCAGTTCTAGTTCAGTTCTAGTTCAGTTCTAGTTCAGTTTTAGTTCAGTTCTAGTTCAGTTCTAGTTCAGTTCTAGTTCAGTTCTAGTTCAGTTCAGTTCTAGTTCAGTTCTAGTTCAGTTCTAGTTCAGTTCTAGTTCAGTTCTAGTTCAGTTCTAGTTCAGTTCTAGTTCAGTTCTAGTTCAGTTCTAGTTCAGTTCTAGTTCAGTTCTAGTTCAGTTCTAGTTCAGTTCAGTTCTAGTTCAGTTCTAGTTCAGTTCTAGTTCAGTTCTAGTTCAGTTCTAGTTCAGTTCTAGTTCAGTTCTAGTTCAGTTCTAGTTCAGTTCTAGTTCAGTTCTAGTTCAGTTCTAGTTCAGTTCTAGTTCAGTTCTAGTTCAGTTCTAGTTCAGTTCTAGTTCAGTTCTAGTTCAGTTCTAGTTCAGTTCAGTTCTAGTTCAGTTCTAGTTCAGTTCTAGTTCAGTTCTAGTTCAGTTCTAGTTCAGTTTTAGTTCAGTTCTAGTTCAGTTCTAGTTCAGTTCTAGTTCAGTTCTAGTTCAGTTCAGTTCTAGTTCAGTTCGTTCAGTTCTAGTTCAGTTCTAGTTCAGTTCTAGTTCAGTTCTAGTTCAGTTCTAGTTCAGTTCTAGTTCAGTTCTAGTTCAGTTCTAGTTCAGTTCTAGTTCAGTTCAGTTCTAGTTCAGTTCTAGTTCAGTTCTAGTTCAGTTCTAGTTCAGTTCTAGTTCAGTTCTAGTTCAGTTCTAGTTCAGTTCTAGTTCAGTTCTAGTTCAGTTCTAGTTCAGTTCTAGTTCAGTTCTAGTTCAGTTCTAGTTCAGTTCTAGTTCAGTTCTATTTCAGTTCTAGTTCAGTTCTAGTTCAGTTCTAGTTCAGTTCTAGTTCAGTTATAGTTCAGTTCTAGTTCAGTTCTAGTTCAGTTCTAGTTCAGTTCTAGTTCAGTTCTAGTTCAGTTCTAGTTCAGTTCTAGTTCAGTTCTAGTTCAGTTCTAGTTCAGTTCTAGCTCAGTTCTAGTTCAGTTCTAGTTCAGTAGTTCAGTTCTAGTTCAGTTTTAGTTCAGTTTTAGTTCAGTTCTAGTTCAGTTAGTTCAGTTCTAGTTCAGTTCTAGTTCAGTTCTAGTTCAGTTCTAGTTCAGTTCTAGTTCAGTTCTAGTTCAGTTCTAGTTCAGTTCAGTTCTAGTAGTTCAGTTCTAGTTCAGTTCTAGTTCAGTTCTAGTTCAGTTCTAGTTCAGTTCTCAGTTCTAGTTCAGTTCTAGTTCAGTTCTAGTTCAGTTCTAGTTCAGTTCTAGTTCAGTTCTAGTTCAGTTCTAGTTCAGTTCTAGTTCAGTTCTAGTTCAGTTCTAGTTCAGTTCTAGTTCAGTTCTAGTTCAGTTCTAGTTCAGTTCTAGTTCAGTTCTAGTTTAGTTCTAATTCAGTTCTAGTTCTAGTTCAGTTCTAGTTCAGTTCTAGTTCAGTTCTAGTTCAGTTCTAGTTCAGTTCTAGTTCAGTTCTAGTTCAGTTCTAGTTCAGTTCTAGTTCAGTTCTAGTTCAGTTCTAGTTCAGTTCTAGTTCAGTTCTAGTTCAGTTCTAGTTCAGTTCTAGTTCAGTTAGTTTTTTTCCTAGTTCAGTTCTAGTTCAGTTCTAGCTCAGTTCTAGTTCAGTTCTAGTTCAGTTCAGAACTTACGTTTCCTGGGCAGTGAAATATTCAGTGAAAATAAAACTTACTTTCTCCTCCTTAAACGTTCACGTTCACGAAAAAGTTGTGGCAACTTTGGTAGAAAATTTTCATCCAATATCTGATAGAGTTCCTTTTCTTTGGCATTCGTCGATGCCTTAAATTTCGTTGCCAAATTTTGCCAATCCTCTTCAGTAAAACAGATCACTTGCCAAACCGAATTCGATTTGAAACTATTTGAAGCGGCCGGTTTATCTTCACGATACAAACGTGTACCGTAAAAATACCAATAGCCAGAATTTTTCGAATCGTAACCCAACGGTTCGACACGTAAACTATCCGATTCTAAATTATTTAAAATCACTTGTACATCGGCCGAATCGAGGCGAAAATGACAGAGATCGTAGAGAATAAGAAGACGTTTGCGTACGGGTAAAGATTGAAAATCAATATCGGTATCGAAATGATTCTCGGTATTATGAAGACGACACTGTTGGCGTAGGAAACGCCTTAAAAACATTTGATAATTACTATGGGTTATTTCTTTTGCTACCGAATGTAAAGCATCGCAACCTTTTAATAAGCGTACAATAAGTTCAGGCACTAAAGCAATATGATGTTCATCATCTGTTGTTGTACCATCGGATAATAAAGCGGATTCTAAATCCTGGAAAAAAAAACAATATAAATTAGTGAACCTTTTTAAATAATAATTATTATTATTAATTACCTCAATATCTATATCTGGCAAATCAAATGCTGAACTAAACAATGAACAAAAATGTGAAATACACGGTATCTCCCACCATGATTGTATATCTGCAAATATTTCATTTTAGTTTTACGAATTCTTTTAATTAATTGTTTATTAATGCCTCACCCAAAAGTCCTATGAAAGTAGAAACCATTTATGTTTACTTTCACAATGTTTTTATTGCTGTTGTGTGTTTCTTCTTATTAAGCTGCAAATGTACGTTTAGAGTTGTATGTGAATGTTCGAAAAAAGGCCGCTCGATTATAATTAATCCTTTTGTAATTTCTTATAAATTAAGTTAAAAATTTTCTTTCTTTTAACAAATTATCTTTGGTTAATTTTCTAATGTTATTGGTCTGCATTTAATGCATTTTCTTTTCAAAATTCAGCAAATGTTTTTTTAAGAATTACCTGGAAATAGATCCAAAGGAAATAAATATCTGTAAGTTATTGACAATATCGAATTTATTTTCTTTAACTTATTTTAATATAAAATATGGATCGAATATGAAGGATAAAAAAGTCGTCCAATATTTTTAAACCGAATGAAAAAGTATTAACTTGTTCTGGAGGATAAGTCAACAATAATACAATGGCCAGACTATAAATTAGACTATAGACTAGACGAGAGATTAGACTATAGACTAGACTATAGACTAGACTATAGACTAGACTAGACTAGACTAGACTATAGACTAGACTATAGACTAGACTATAGACTAGACTATAGACTAGACTATAGACTAGACTAGACTATAGACTAGACTATAGACTAGACTATAGACTAGACTATAGACTAGACTATAGACTAGACTATAGACTAGACTATAGACTAGACTATAGACTAGACTATAGACTAGACTATAGACTAGACTATAGACTAGACTATAGACTAGACTATAGACTAGACTATAGACTAGACTATAGACTAGACTATAGACTAGACTATAGACTAGACTATAGACTAGACTATAGACTAGACTATAGACTAGACTATAGACTAGACTATAGACTAGACTATAGACTAGACTATAGACTAGACTATAGACTAGACTATAGACTAGACTATAGACTAGACTATAGACTAGACTATAGACTAGACTATAGACTAGACTATAGACTAGACTATAGACTAGACTATAGACTAGACTATAGACTAGACTATAGACTAGACTATAGACTAGACTATAGACTAGACTATAGACTAGACTAGACTAGACTATAGACTAGACTATAGACTAGACTATAGACTACAGACTAGACTATAGACTACAGACTAGACTATAGACTACAGACTAGACTATAGACTAGACTATAGACTTGACTATAGACTTAGACTATAGACTAGACTATAGACTAGACTATAGACTAGAATATAGACTAGACTATAGACTAGACTATAGACTAGACTATAGACTAGACTAGACTAGACTATAGACTAGACTATAGACTAGACTATAGACTAGACTATAGACTAGACTATAGACTAGACTATAGACTAGACTATAGACTAGACTATAGACTAGACTATAGACTAGACTATAGACTAGACTATAGACTAGACTATAGACTAGACTATAGACTAGACTATAGACTAGACTATAGACTAGACTATAGACTAGACTATAGACTAGACTATAGACTAGACTATAGACTAGACTATAGACTAGACTATAGACTAGACTATAGACTAGACTATAGACTAGACTATAGACTAGACTATAGACTACAGACTAGACTATAGACTAGACTATAGACTACAGACTAGACTATAGACTACAGACTAGACTATAGACTACAGACTAGACTATAGACTACAGACTAGACTATAGACTAGACTATAGACTACAGACTAGACTAGTCTACACATATAAACTATAGACTAGAATTTAAGTCTTAACGGAAATAAAGAATTGGTATTGTTTTATATTAATCATGTACCCAAACTACCCTAAGTAAAGTACAAATTGTTACCTATTTTAAATTCAAAATCACTAAATGATTCAGTCATAACTGAGATCCTAGAGTACATTACGTTTTAAAAATTTCTAGCATTATCGAAAACATAGACATTTTGGTGTCCGATAAGAAACAATCAGAGCACCACTGACCTTCATATTGATATTGATTTAATTATATTGGAGAACCTGTACCATAAAAATCTTTCGGTTATTCTACTGTTGTTGAGGTGGCAAATTTTATCTTAAAATGATCCAATTCTACTGGGAACTAGGTATATAAATAACTTTGCTTTGTAACAGCTAGCCCTACAATTTCTTCCCAACATTAACGAATATTTATCAATATGTATTTAAAAAAGAGTAAAATCTTTTATCTTTAAAAAACTCTCTAATATTTAATAATTCACAAATTTCTTTAAAAAAAGAAACAATTCCACAATTGTTAAAACAAAATTTCTCAAAATAAAATGTTTTAAAAAGTAGTACAACCATTTAGCACCCCACATAGAAATATAGAAGAAAACAAAAAACAGAAAAATGATGTAAAAGAATTTGGCGCAAAATATTTATGTATAAAATCTTATTAATTGGATAAAGCGCGGGAAAAAATATAATTATCAATAGAAGGTACGATGAGAGTATTATGTCGTTGAAAACGTACACAATCCAACAGGTGGGATGAAGGGGCGTCAAAGTTTGAAGGGGTTACAAAGTTAGACAAACAAACACACAAAATGAAAACATATGGCAAATGCAAACAAACACACACACTAGCGGTCACAATAAAAATAAACAAAACAAAGGGCCACAAAATTTAATACAAATGATAACAAATTAAAATAACAAATATTTCTAAAAATTTTTAATATTATTATGTTTAAAACTAATAAAATTATCTCTAATATTTTAAGAAACAAAACTGCAAACTTTAAAACATAAAAAACATGTGTTTATCATAGTGGTGTTAAGAAAAAAATTGAATTGTTTTGATTTTTTTCTTTTATCATACAAAAACAATACGGTATTTTTTTTTGTTATTCTCTTTGCTCTCTGCATAGAAGAGTGAAGTAGTATGTGGTGAATTAATATAGTTATCTCTTTCTAAAAGAAAATGAAAGAGTTAAAAAGATATATACATCATGTTTATTCGCCGATTATAAACAACCAAAATAGAGCAGCAAAAACATTTAAAAGTTAAAGAGCAAACGGTTAGACATGAGTACATAAAAAACATATGTTTGCATAAGTTATTAATAGGCGTGAAGAGAGCCACACTTGGCCATAAAAGAAAATTGAAAAAATTGGTATATTTTCGTTTCCCGTTTGTTGAAAAAAAATCGAAGTGAAATTTTTCTGCAATTATATTTTTTTTCATTTCTACTCAAATGTAAGACTACTAATTAACTAGTTTTTAGGTTTTTATTTAAAGATTTAATAGTTTCTATTTTAGTAGTTTATTTTCACTCTTAATTTGTTTTGTACCATTTTTCGTTTCTTAAATAATGTCTACTTTTTTACATTTATATATGTAAATAACAGTGATGTCTACTTTGGCGTTTTTTTTATAGTTTTTTTCATAGAAAACGAAGTATTTTTTGAAAGTATGGAAATAATGCGGTATATTATGGAAAAATCGATATATCGAAAAAGATTTAATCGATCACCACCACTTGTTTTACTTTTGTTTTCAAGATATTGTCTTTTTTTACATAAAGGCCCTGTTTGTTAAAGATTTACTTTACTTGTAAGCCCTGAAATAAAGAATTTCGACATTCATATACATATGTATATACATAGCATAAAATTACACAAACTTCGTTGATATAGGAGAACTTTCAGTAAATTTACCAAAAAGGTACCAAAACAAAAATGTTCCTCCTTTTCACCTTTAAAAGGAACCAAAAATCTTTTAGTTTGGATTTTTCAAACATAATAACTACGTGGAAAGGTAACAATTTTCATTTAGAAGATATAAAATTCTCCTTTTTTTCATTGTAAATTTAGAAGGCTTGAGCGTAAAATACCTCTAAAAAACGAATTTTTCAAATGTCAAAAGTATCGATTTTGCCAATTTTCCCCATTTTAACCATTTTTGTTCACGTTTAAGTCCAACTTTCGCAAAGCAACTTCAGTAATAAATATTTCCTAACCTTCAAAATGCTAAATTGAAAATACTTTAGCAGTAGATCAGATAAAAATCAGACTTCATTTTTCGCATCGCAATATATATGTCAAATATGGGATAAACTTCTGAAAGTGCAAAGTAAGAATACCTATAATATCTGATATATTTTGTTCTTAATTCATAATTCAATGTACGATAACTTAGTAGATAGGATTTCTAAAGAATTAAAAAATCTTTATTAAAAGTTAGTAATTAAATAAAGAAGAAAGTTGAGAAAAATAAAATTTTCTCTAATTTATATTTATGTATATATTATAACTCAAAAAAGGAACAATATAGATATATCAGAATTTGAATAAAACAAGATCTCAAAACACATTGTAATTTAAATAATACAAATCTTAAAAAAAGAAACGTAACTTCCGTAACAACGTCTAAAATGTGACAAACCGACTTTTTAACACTTTAGGCTTAGGCATTTCTTGAGACAAATATTGGAACCTAGTTCGGATTCAACCTAACTTAATACTTGAAATTTCAGTTCTTCCAAATGCTATTTTAAGCATGCAAAAATAATTTCCAAAAAAAAAACGATAATTTTTAAATAATAGTTTTTTCTATGTTAAAATGACGATTTTTTTTCTCTACATAAGCCGACAGGCAAGTTGACATCACACTTTTTGTACCTTCTTACTTCTTGCCCTCTCTGTATGTCTAAAAGGTTGCTGACTTTTTCGTCGTCCACTTCTTCTACGGGCTGTTTTTTATTCCTCTTCTTCTTCAATACACACACTCCTCTTTTAGCAAGTAGGAAAAAAATTTTATATTGCGTTTAAATTTTTTTTGTTTAATTCTTTTTACACTACAACACAACTTCACTTAAAAACTAAAATTATTTAAATATATATTTTTATTCAGATTTCTTTACAAACTATTGCTTTTCTTTAAAAAAACATTTTATCTTTTTTATATTTTCAATATTTAAAAAATTTCTTCTTTCAATTTTAATGATTTTTTCTTCACTACATTGGTTCAATACGTGTGTGTGTGTCGGATTCTTTTTTCTTAATTTTTATTTGCCACAAAAATTCACTATTTTTTCACTTTTTTTATTATTTTACTTATTTTTAACGACCACACAACCGAATCCGCGTAGAACAATTTGTAAACTGAAGAAATTTTCTAGTTGTTTTGAAACATTTTCATTTTTCATAGTAAATACAGTGTGTTAGAGCGGGACAATTGTATGGGTTTGGTGATAATGTTGGTCTTGTTTCTCTTGCGAAAGAGGGAAAATATATGGTTGCAAAAATTGTGTGCAAAAACCAATTGTAAATTATGGGGTTTTTGTCTTGGATATTATGCAGTCACATAATCGGCGATAAAAGTTAGTGATGGGTTATTTTTTATAGTCATTCTTGTTTAATTCACATATCCTTTTTCCTTTAAATTTGGAATAAATAAAGATAAAAATTAAAGAAAAACATTTTGCAGAATTTTAAAAATGTGAGTGAATTAGAAAATTGATTGTGTTGAATTTAAAATCGCAGAGTTTTGACAATTCATTTTTTAACCTTAAAAATTGTGTTGAATTTTAAACCGTGAAATTATTTTGGTTCATCTAATAAATAATAAAAAAAGACATTTGAAAACAGTAGTGAATTTGAAATGGTGGTGAATTCTTAAAATCGTGGTAAAGTTAAAAGAAATATTGTGGTGTATTTAAAATCATATTGATTTGATTGATTGAAAACTGTATAAAAATAAAAATAGGGTTTAAATTGTTTAATAAAAATTGTCGAGAATTTATAGTTGTGAATTTAAAGAACTGTGCTGAATGTTTAAAATATAAATATTAAAACAGTACGTGAATAAATTTAAAATTCTGGAAATATAATGATAGAATTTTAAAGAATTTTTAAAAATTTTGGTGAATTGAAATAAGTCTTTGCAAATTCTAAAAATAGTGGAAAATTTAATTGAAGAAAAAATCTGCACGATCAAATAAAATGAGGTAATATTATACATCGTTAGAAAGACGATTCGGTGTACTCTTCAACAATTTATATATACATACATATGTAGTCTAGTATAAACTTTATTCCTCTCAAGAAAACAACAACAATTAACTAATACTGAATAAAAATCTTAATTGTATATACTTTAACCCTTTCCGTGATTTTGTCAAATATATTCGACATTACAACAGACTATGTTTTAAAGCATTTTTTGGGTATAATATTTACCTATAATAATAATTTTTACTTTTAGATGAAAATTAAGACTTATTTATATATTTATAATTGAGATTTTGAAAGATCTTTCGTATTTTTAAAGTCTTTTAAAACCTGGCTTTAAGAAATTGTCACTTATGACAACTTTTTAACAACGTTTAAAAACTGTATTTTAGGAGATCGTACTATACAGATTTAAAATGTATTTTATTGATATTTACAAAATAATATTCATAAAAGATAATGGTGGTACTTTTTGTTGACTGTTTTTCGAATGTCGAATTTATTCGACATTAAACATTGACCTTCTATAATTCACTAGGGTAAACTCAAATTCCAAAAGTTTTTCCCGTACTCATCATACTCAAATTATCTTAAATATAAGTTTTCAAGTTTTTCTCGACATAAATTATTTTTGACCCTGAAAGGGTTAAATAATTTAACCTATAATATCATCCTATTTTTAGTCTTGTTAAAAAACTCTATATAAAATCTACTTTTTTTTGGGATTGGTTCTCAATGGATTAATAAATGGGGTCATATTATATATCTTTGAAAAGGCATTTCAAAACTCTTTCAAACGATATATGTATATATTATCGGTTCATGAATAGGGAAGATATTGATATATAAATACCACATATTATATATATAACTCCAAAACTAAACATTTTTTTTACCAAAAGACATATAACACAAAACATAGAATTAAAAGTTCTATAAGTGATCATTTTTTTCCAACATTGGAGAGTTATATCTAATGTATACTAGTTCCAAGTCCACTGACTACATATTTTATTCTAACAATTTTTTGTAGGTATAAAAATATTACAGAAAACATTAAAAATACAAGAATTGAAACAAAAAACATCCAAATTGACAACATTGAATGGTAGTGATGATAAATCGCTGATAACATATAGTTTATGGTAGTGATGACACAAGTATGTAAGTTATGGTGAATTTCAAATTTGTGTAGAATTAAAAAATCTTGGTGAATTGGACGTTGTTTTTTTCGAGAATGACGGCCGTGCTCTCCATCTCCATAATCCTCCAGCTTTAAAAGAATAGCACATAACTGCAATATTCCGCTGCAATAAACTAATTATCAATTTAGTTGGAGTTCTGTGATTGTAATGATTATTTATTTATTAATTTCTATGTCGTGAGGTCCGTTTTTTAAAATAATAAATATAACTTAACAACAATGTAAAACAAAAGAATTTCGTAAGTGAATCTGTGAAACCAATGAAAACAAACAGCTGATTATGATAAATACCCGATAAACATTAGAGATGACACTCATTCAATCGTAATTCGTGTAATTCGCAGCTGAAACTTTCTATGGCCAATCAGTATCATGGTGTACTGAATACAAGGTGTCATCGCTCTGATCATTGTTTACAATTTTTTATACATAGACTTGTATGCAGGCTTAAACCGCACGTTTGTCAAACTCCATATAAAAAAATTTGACAATCGTGCGGTTGCTCTCAAGTGCTGGTACCTTGTTAAGTATACCGTGATCAGCAAAATTAGTCACAAATAAACTCAATTTTATTATTATCTTTTGCGTGTTTTGAATTGTATAAAAATCGCATTAAAAGAATAAAAAATCGTAGCGAATAAAAAGTAAATTAACCACAAATCCCGTTATGTCAAATTTTTCAAGATCATTGGAGTTTGACTATCCTAAAAGTATGATCTGCTTCTTATTTTCATCCTAAAAATATACTGCTTTTAGTAAAAAATAAATAGCATTGCCAACCTATAATCATAGCACAAATCATATGTATTCAACCCATTGTTCCACTCCCATTCAGTGCTATTTACTACAACTTTGTTTTATCTTACTCTTCCTATACAACTCTGCAGCTAATTATCTCAATAACAGGGTAGTATTTTTTTCGTACCAACAACTAAATAATTTATTTCGTACGCAGAAGCCGGAGGAAAACGACGTTAGTAATAGATAACGCGGAAAAAAGTAATTTTCACACTGTATATTAAAGGAAAAAAGAAAAAAAACAACAAAAAAGTTTTACTAATTTTTCTCTATACAATAAATGGAAAAATTGAATTAATACTTGTAAAATATTTAACAGATAAATAAAAAAACTCTAAACAAGTGGAAACTAACGAAATAAAAGAGATAAACGAATAAATAAATTATTATAAAAGTAAAGTGTTTACAAAAGTGTTAAAAAATGTATTAACGACTTTTTATACTGATTTTTTTTTGCTAACGGGTGTGACAAATACAACTACAAAAACACAATACAAAAAATTCAACAAACAAAAAAAAGAACAATCCCCTCATATACTATTATAACAAATAAAAAAAAACATAAATTAAATCTAAATCTACCAGCCTGCTGGTTTTTAGCAATATACAACAACAATAAAAATAAAGTTAAAACAGCAAAAAAAATTAAATAAAAGAAGCACCAAGGCAAAACGAAATAAGTTTTTTTTTTGTTTTTGCATTCATTCATTTAGCGAAAGGTAATAATAAAATAATATATAGAAAAAAATTTAAGTGAAATATTAAAAATACATATTGTTTTTGTTGCTGCTGCTACTAGTGCTGCAGCTACTAAACCAGTTTGCAAATAAACAAAAACAACTACAGCGGCAGCATAAAAAATTTAAAAGAAATGAAATTTTTACTAATTACTTGTATGTACTTGCTAAAAAAAATAAAAACAACAACAGCAACAAAATAAACGAGAGAGAAATGTAAAAAACACCTGAATTAAAAAAGGAAAATACATGTTGTTGTAATTTACCACAACTACAAAAATGTTAATAAATTCGTATTATAAAAGAAAGTAGCTGCTGGATGTTTGTTGTCTTTGCTATATTTATAAGAAGTTATTTTGCCTTTTTTGCAAAATTGCCTTAATTAAGAAACAAAATAAGAGAAAATTTTAACAAGAAATTTATATTTTTAATAAGTGTTGTCAATTACTATAACTTGTTATTTATCCTTTAATTTTAAAGAAATAACCCCCTTTATAACTCCCCTACAAGGGTTGGTAAGTTTTTATTTGACATTAAATTTTGCTGAGATGGTGAAAATGATGCAATTGTAGATGATTAAATAAGTTGAGAAACAATTTTTTGAATTTTTTAAACATTATTTAATAATTAACATTTTAAGTGTTTAAATACAAAAATTAAGTACCTATAAAGTTTAGGGATAATTTAATTAAAAAATTACCATATGCGAGCACAATATAAAAATGAAGTGGAAATGTGTTACGAAATAAAATTTTTTATCTGAAATATCTTTGGGAAAATTCTTATGCAAAAAATAATATAAGTACTTAATATTGTGAAAAATTAAATATAAGATATTGAATATCGGATAAGCCTATTTCTATACGGCTGTGCAATATGTTTTTATAACAAAGCTGATTTGATGATTATGCTTAGTTTTTTAGTTCAATTCTAGTCCAGTTCTAGTTGAGTTCTAGTTCAGTTCTAGTTCAGATCTAGTTCAGTTCTAGTTCAGTTCTAGTTGAGTTCTAGTTCAGTTCTAGTTCAGTTCTAGTTCAGTTCTAGTTCAGTTCTAGTTCAGTTCTAGTTCAGTTCTAGTTCAGTTCTAGTTCAGTTCTAGTTCATTTCTAGTTCAGTTCTAGTTCAGTTCTTTTTCAGTTCTAGTTCAGTTCTAGTTCAGTTCTAGTTCAGTACTAGTTCCGTTCTAGTTCAGTTCTAGTTCAGTTCTAGTTCAATTCTAGTTCAGTTCTAGTTCTAGTTCAGTTCTAGTTCAGTTCTAGTTCAGTTCTAGTTCAGTTCTAGTTCAGTTCTAGTTCAGTTCTAGTTCAGTTCTAGTTCAGTTCTAGTTCAGTTCTAGTTCAGTTCTAGTTCAGTTCTAGTTCAGTTCTAGTTCAGTTCTAGTTCAGTTCTAGTTCAGTTCTAGTTCAGTT